AAATTAATATAGCCTAGGCAAAAACATGAGATTATGAGTGCTAATAATTAATATTAATTGCAAATAGAGCAAAGAAAGTTATTAGAGCTAAGGAAGGATACATTATGATAAAGGAGTCAACTTTGCAGAAAGACCTAACTGTCCTTAATGCAACCTAAATAGGTGACACAAAAAATGATAGAACTGCAAAGGTGAATCAGTATTATAGTTGGAAACTTCAACAACCCTTCTATCAGAAGTGGACAGATTTATTAGGCAGAAAATAATAAGGACAATGAATTTAACTCATTGCCATGTATCAACTGCACATAATGGGCACTTACAGACTACTTCAACAACAGAATAAACATTCATCTCAAGTTCCTGTGGACCACTGACTAAGACAGACCACTTGTTGACCATAAAACACACTTTCACATATTTCACAGAGTAGAAATCATGTGACCATAATGGAATTAACCTAGAAGTCTATAACAGAAATATCCCAAAATATTTGACATTAAATAATACATTTCTAAATATCACAAGTCAGAGAAGAACTCTCAAGAGAGTTTTTTAAATACTTTAAGCTAAATGAAAATGGAAACACAACTTATCTAACTTTGTGTTGACATTCAGTAAAATAAGTGCTTAGAAGGAAATTTGTATCATTTAATGCACATATTAGAAAAGAAGAAATATCTTTAAAAATTTAAGCTTCTTCCTTAGGAAACTAGAAAAGGAACAGCAAGTTAAATCCAAAATATGGAAAAAAATAGTAAAAACTAGAGCAAACATCAATGAAATTAAAAACAGGAAATCAACAGAAAATCAGTGAAACCAAAAGCTAATTCTTTGAAAAGATCAATAAAATTATAAGCTTTTAGCCAGGCTATCTAGGAAATTAAAGGAGATCACAAAGTGCTAATATCAGCCTTATAAGACTATCCATCACTACAGATGGAAAGACATCTCATATTTATATAGAGTCAACATTGCTGAGATGTTAATGGTATATAAAGTGACCTATAGGCAATAAAAATCCAGACAAAATTTTCTGCAGAAAGACAAATTCATCATAAAATTCCTACAGAATTTTAATGGATTACAAATAGCCAACAATCTTGGAAAAGATCAAAGTTGTATGATTCATACTTTGATTACTTTTGAAACCAAGACAGCTTAGTTTATAGAAAGTCATATAGACTAACTGAGTAGAATGGAAGTCTCAGAAGTAAACCCTTATATAATGGTAGACTGATTTTTACAGTTAATTTAAAAGTCTAGGGTGACAAGACTATTCAAGATAGTAAGGACAGTCTTCAAAAAAAAAAAACAATGCTGATGAAACTAGATAGCCACATGTGAAAGAGCAAAGTCAAAACCTTACATCACATCATATATAAAAATTAACTCAAAATGGACCAAAAAACGTAGCTGTAAGGTCTAAAACTCTTAGAAGAAGATGCTGGAGAAAATCTTCATGACATTGAACTTAGCAATGAGTCTGTGCGTGTGCTATTTATGATTAAGGAAAGCCACAAGGATAGCTTGACATCTGCGCAGAAATGCAGAGCATGGGCAACTACATTAAAAATAACAAGTTGGACTTCATCAAAATTAAGAACTTTTGTGTATCAAAGAGCACTGTCAAAGTGAAAAAACAACATACAGAATGGGATGAAATATTTGCAAATCTTAGCTCTGACAAGAGATTGACATCTAGAAAAATTTTTATACTCATAACTAAATAACAATTTTTAAAAAGCCCAATTTGAAAACAGGAAAAGGATTTGAATATATATTTTCCAAAGAAGATGTAAATAGTTAGTAAGCAACTGAAAAGATGCTCAATATCATTAGTCATAAGGGAAATATAAATCAGAACCACAATGAGATAGCACTGCACACCTATTAGGATGGCTATAATCAAAGATAAGAAATAACAAGTGTTGGTGAGGATATGGAAAATTCATCATAGAATGGCCACATGATCCGCAATTCCACTCCTAGGTATATACCCAAAGTAATTGAAAGGACTGGAACAGATATTTGTAAACTTAGGGTTCATAGGCGCATCACAGTAGCCAAAAGGTAGGAATGACCCACAGATCTATCAGTGAATAAATGGATAAACAAAATGTGATATATGCACACAATATTGTTAAGGTGCATCCATGTCTGGACAAATATTGTGTGGTTATACTTACATGAGGTACTAAAATAGACAAATTCATGGAGACAAAAAGAAGAATAGAGGTTACTAGGGCTAGGGAAATTATTGTTTCATGGGTACAGAGTTTAGGTTGGGAATGATGAAAAAGCTTTAGGTAAAAATAGTGATTACTGTGGTTTGGAGTGTTCCTCAAAAATTCATATGTTGCTAACTTAATCCCCAAATTCATGTTAATGGCATTTGCAGGTAGAGCTTTTGGGAGGTAACTAGGACTAGGTCATGAAGGTGAGGCCTCTATGATGGCATTAGTGGTTTTATAAGAAAAGGAAGAGAGACTGGAGTTCTTTCCCAGTCTCACCATTTGATGCCCTCCTCCCAGTTATGATACAGAAAGAAGGCCCTACCAGATTCCAAGCAGTTGCTGGTGCTGTGCTTTTAGAATTTCCAGCTTCCAGAACCATGAGCCAAATAAACTTCCACTCCTTATAAACTGGTATAAGATATTTTATTACAATAACAGAAAATAGACAAAGAGTGATAACATATACCATATCATGAATAATTAATACCACTGCGTTCTATACTTAACACATAATTAAAATCATAATTTACCACATCAAAAATCAAGAAATAAGAGACAAGGTAAGCCTCAGGCATCAGTGGCTCATACCTATAATTCTAACTATTGGAGGGCAATTTGTGGCCAGCCCAGGCAAACAATTCTGGAGACCTCATCTCCAAAATAATCAGAAGAAAATGGACTGAAGGTGTGGCTCAAGTGGTAGAGGTCCTGCTTTTCAAGTATAAATTCAAACCCAGTCCCACCAAAAAAACAAAAAAATTAATAAGGTAGATTGATGAAATTCCCTTTATTTCTTACTTTTACTATGAAACTTATTTTATGTGTTGATTTTTACAAATGTATCAAAATGATTATATATTTTCCCTTTTTTCTTCTTATTGGGGTTGTTACATCAGTTGATTTTTTTTAATATTATCTAACCTCATGTTCCTGGAATAAATCCCACTTGGTTGTGATGTAGTCTCCTTTTAAATGTTGCTAGATTCTAGTTTGTTAGTATTTTGTAAGTACATATTTGTATCTATGCTCAGAAGATACATTGGTCTGTAATTTTCCCCTCTTGTAATTGGTGTTAATTTTAGTATTAAGGTTATGCTCATCTAATAAAATAAATTGTACTTTGTTTTTCTAGTCCTGAGATACCTAGTGGGAATACATACATATGTTCACTGTAAATTATGTACAAGACTGTTTATTAAAACACTATCCATAATAGTGAAAACCTAAAGGGACTGGGTGCTGGTAGCTCACACCTGTAATCTAGCTACGTGGGAAGCAGAGATCAGGAGGATTGCAATTCGAAGCCAACCCCAGTCAAATAGTTCACGAGACCCTATCTGGAAAAAAAACCTTCACAAAAAAAGGACTGGTAGAGTGGCTCAAGTGGTAGAACGCCTGCCTAGCAGGCATGAGGCCCTGAGTTCAAACCACAGTACTGCCAAAAAAATGAAAATGCCCATCAACAATTCAATTAATAAGTAAGTTATGGTATATTCATAGTGGGATGGAAAATGATTCAGTCTACTGAAATGGAGTACTATACACACACAATGAAATACCATACTCCAATGAGAGTGTACAACCATAACCTTAAAAAAAAATAAAAGCCCAACCATAAGAGCACTAACTATGCAACTGTAAAGTTACATTGGTTCACTTTTTGAAAATTCACTGAGCTGCATAGTCAAAATACATATAGTTTGCTGAATGTATGTGATAGTTTGGTGAACAGTTTTCTAGAAAAATAATGAATCAGATTTGGAAAAAAAAACAAGTAACACCTTCACAGAGAAAACTATAGTCACTAAAATTAAAACCAAATGACTAGGGTGAGGCAAATGTTTATAGCAGCCCCTAGTTTTAAATCTAAATCACACACACACACATACATAAATAGAACAAAGAGAATGGAAAGAGTGAAAACCCATGAACAATATCATAAAAAAGCTAGGTGACAAAAGTGTCTTATGGGGACCTCATAATATAAGCAAGTAGGCCAAAACCACTGGCAGGAGCAATCAGCAATTATACTGAACAAGTATGGGTAGTTTTTTATACTCCTAAAGCCTAGAAATTGGGTGTTTTTGAGGGAGCAATTTTTATACTGAGAAAGTAACAGTAAAAAGTGCTCAACATCATTTGTCATTTAGTAAGTACAAATTAAAAATTTGAGTGAAACATAACTACACATCCACCAGAATGTTGACTATTAAGCTATGTGTATGTATGTTTGTTTGATATATTTCACACTAAAAAGGTTTAAAATTTTTCTTAATTGCTCATGGAGGCAATATATGGATTAATTACAAAAAGAATTGCTATTTTTATTAACATATAGCTTATTTATTAATTGAAATACTTTAATCTTAATTCTAATTTATAATTTTAGTGTGTGATAATGTGAATGCATCCTATGAATAAGGAGTGGCTACAATATTACTACCAACCATTAGGGCTCATCTAAGGCTCAGGTTTTGCAAAGTGACCTGTGAGCTATTAGTTTTTCCATGTCTAAAAGTGATTATCTACCCTCTGAAGTTTTTATAAGCTATAGGTAATAAGACCATATTTCACATGGAAGTTAATCTATTGAAATATTTAACAAGACCATATCTACTAATGATTATGGGCTTTGGGATTGTGCCATCTTTTGTAATAACTGCATATATTCTGTCTTCCATTGGTATGAACAATTGAAATTCAAAGCTGTCAAATACTAGAATCCGGTCCATTACATACATGTTAAAATCTTTCCCTTCTTAGGTAACATCAAAAACCAGGAGTTTCGAGGGATTATTGGCTACCACATTCCAAGCAAGGAAATTTGCTTGGGAAAGGTGATTATAGAAATCATATCATTCTTACATTATGTGTTAATGGAAGACTAATAGAAAACATTGAGATTTAAACATGTGGAATGGGAACCTGGTATTAGCAGATTAGAAACCTTAAGTTACTTTTCAGAGGTCACTATAGTTTAATTTATGGAGACTTCTGATCCCTAATTCTATTATTTCATGCCCATTGAGAGAATGGGGATGGAGAACTATCTCCTGTCTGTGTTTTAATCATCTTTTCCTTATGTATCTTTTTGACCCAAAGCATAAACCTGGCAGGGGTTGTGGAGATAAGGTGGGAAAAAGGTTCATCTAGGGACATTACAATGGTAACTCTGTCATTCTTTTCCATTAAAGGTGTTTAGCATTTTGGAGAAAGCTAAAGTGCTATTCAATTTAGAAGACTATTCAGTCAGACAGATAACACTGGAACAAATCTTCCTGACCTTTGCTAATACTGATAAAGTGAAAAACTCTGTAAAGTAAACCAGTAAATAAAGCTGCTATGAGATTCCAAGCCAACCAATAACAGTTTTCTTTCCTTGACTGCTGCTTATAATTGAATATGTAGGGTGATCTGTCTCTCTCACTGTCTCCCCCCTGTGTCTGTCCCTCTCTGTCTCTCTCTGTTTCTGTCTTTCTTTCTCTCTCTCTCTCACACACACACATATACACACATGCAAACACACATTCACACAAAATATGTACATACATACATACGTACATACAAACTGAAACCCCAAAGAAGAAAGCTTATAATCTTTGGAAATTAAAGTGAATGACATGTTGGCAAAAACTGTGAAGGATCTGAAATTGCTGCCCTATTTCTAAATTAACAAGCTAGTTTGTCATAGTTTCACAGATGTTAGCAGAAGACATGAGTATCTTGAGTCAAAGTCAGAGGACGTCACAGCAATAACTAAAATAGATCATAACTTATGCCAGGTCCTCAACCCTAATTCTCACAAAAAGAGCCAGATGATGCCTGTTGTGTTTCTGGAGAGGAATCAGAGATTATGGAACCCAAATCTTTAATAATGGTTAGTAAGTAAACCTCCCTGACCTCTGCTGCAGAAGAAAACATTCTTATTCTGGGGAGGTAAAAAGAAAAAAAATAGTCTGGAACAAAAAGGCAGTCAGTGCTTCTAGTCACAATTCACAAAGAAATGCAAGAAATTCATGAAGAATTGTCTCAATACCTTGTTTCTACACCCTCTGACCTCCTGGCAAACTCCCCTATGAGTATGCCGCTCGTCCATTCTGGTTAATCTGAAATTGGGATGAAATTTATTCAGTTTGTTTCATACAATTTTTATGGCTACTGTCACTAAAACTCTAAGCAGCAGGGTAAAGCTAAACTGCAGTATTTGATCTCAGACATGCTCCCACTCCACCAGGGTCCCAGATCCAACTAGCCGAACAAGCTCTGTAAACCATTTGAGTGTACCTTGGAAAGTCAAGAGACTTTCTCCTTACATTTCTGTACTGACCTTTTCAACTTAATTTAATGCATTAATCAGGTACAGCACTTATAGTGATTATACAAACTCCATCCTGGCCTGCAAAGAGGAGGAAATCTAGGGAAATTCTATCATACCAAACCATTAGCTATGAGATCTGGACTTTAATGCCTTCCAAAGTGCAGGTGGCATTTCTATAAACATGTGAAGGTGCAAAGCAGGGTTTTTTGGAGGTAGGCAAGTTCATGCTGGATTTCATATAATCATACAATCCTGAGGGTGCACCTGGTGCTCCTGGAAAGTGTTGTTTACAACTCTTAGTGCTCTCCCTAAGTAAGACTCACATAAGTCAGACAGCACAGGTTGACAATGCTACAAACATGTCTGGCCATCTTATAAACCTTATGATTCCTAGCTCATAGGCTTGTTTTTAACCCCTGGTTTTGGAGGGAACTCCTAAGGATAATCCATCTAACCTATCCCATTTGTCTATGTCAAAAGTCAGATGACAGTCTTCTGCACTCATGGAAAAAAAAGAGCAATGGCTATAAGAATGGGGATTATAAAAGGCTAGGCATTAACAGGAGTTTTACATGAGATACGGGGCCATCCCTTTCTGTTTCCAAAAGACTTCTCACTGAGGTTAAAGAGAATGGCAATTAAGTTGTGATCAGAGCCAACTGAAAAATAGAGGAAAGACTCAGTCAGACACAAGGTACGTGCAACAGTTTGGGAGTTTGGGTGTTTACTTTTTTTTATTTATTCATATGTACATACATTGTTTGTGCCATTTCTCTCCCCCTTTCCCCCACTCTCTCCCTCTCCTCCCCATCCCCCTCTCTTCCAGGCAGAACCTGTTCTGCCCTGTTCTCCAGTTTTGTTGAAGAGAAGACATAAGCAATAATAAGAAAGACGTAGCATTTTTGCTAGTTGAGATAAGGATAGCTATACAGAGAGATTCCTAGCATTGCTTCCATGCACAAGTGTATTACGACCCGAATTGATTCATCTCTACCTGACCTTTTCACTACTTCCCAGTCACCTTCCCATAGTGACCTCTATCATTTTAAGGTTATTATATTAACTCCTCTACAGTGGACACCTCAAACACTTTCAAGTTTGGGGTTTCCTACCTTTCCGTATTCCTCATATATGTGTTCTCCCCTTAGCATGTGACCCATGTCCAATATTATTACTGCATTTGTTTTAGGCCTAAAGTCCACTATATGAAGGAGAATATAGGATTTTTGGCCTTCTGAGCCTGGCTAACTTCGCTTAAGATGATGTTCCAGTTCCATGCATTTACTTGCGAATGACAAGATTTCATTCTTCTTCATGGCTGAGTAAAATTCCATTGTGTATAAATACTACATTTTCTTAATCCATTCGTCAGTAGTGGGGCATCTTGGCCATTTCCATAACTTGGCTATTGTGAATAGCACTGCAATAAACATGGTTGTTCAGGTGCCTTTGGAGTAACCTGAGTAGCATTCCTTTGGGTATATCCCCAGGAGCGGGATTGCTGGATCTTATGCCAGATCTATGTTTAATTTTTAAAGAAGCATCCATATTGTTTTCCAGAGTGAATGTACTGGCTTACATTCCCACCTGCAGTGTATGAGGGTTCCTTTTCCCCACATCCTCGCCAATGCCTGTTGTTGGTGGTGGTGCTTTTGATGATGGCTATTCTAACAGGAGTGATCTGGAATTTTAATGTGGTTTTAATTTGCATTTCCTTTATGGCCAGAGATAGCATTTTTTCATGTGTTTTTTGGCCATTTGAATTTCTTCTTTTGAAAAAGTTCTGTTTAGTTTAGTTGCCCATTTCTTTATTGGTTCATTGATTTTGAGGGGGGGTAGTTTTTTGAGCTCCCTGTATATTCTAGTTATCAGTTCTTTGATGTATATCTAGCAAATATTTTCTCCCACTGTGTGGGTGGTCTTTTCAGTTTAGAGACCATTTCTTTTGTTGTACAGAAGCTTTTTAATTTCATGTAATTCCCTGTGTCCATCCTTTCTCTTAGTTTCTGAACTGCTGGGGTTTTATTGAGAAAGTGCTGCCTAAACCTATTGCTTCTAGATTATTCCTTGCTATTTTCTGTACTAGCTTCAGAGTTTTGGGTCTGATATTAACATCCTTGATCCATTTTGTGTTGATACTAGTATCATGGATCTAGTTTCAGTTTTCTGCAGGCAGATAACCACTTTTCCCAGCAACATTTGTTGAAGAGCTGTCTTTTTTTCATCATATGTTTTTGGAGCCTTTGTCAAAAATAAGGTGGGCAGAGCTATGTGAATGCATATCCAGGTCCTCTATTCTGTTTCACTTGTCTTCATATCTGTTTTTGTGCCAGTACCATGCTGTTTTTATTGCTATTGCTCTGTAATATAGTTTGAAGTTGGGTATTGTGATACCTCCAGCATTACTCTTTTTACTGAGTATTGCCTTGGCTATTCGCAGTCTCTTGTGTTTCCAAATGAACTTTAGGGTAGATTTTTCAATCTCTGTGATGAATGTCATTGGGATTTTGATAAGAATTTCATTGAACATGTAGATTGCTTTTGGTAGTATAGCCATTTTTACTATGTTGATTCTACCAATCCATGAGCATGGAAGATCTTTTCACCTTCTGTAGTTTTCTTCTATCTCTTTCTTCAGAAGTTTGTAGTTCTCCTTGTAGAGGTCATTCACATCCTTTCTTAAGTTTACTCCTAGGTATTTGATTTTTTTTGAGGCTATTGTAAATGGAATTGTCTTCATATATTCTTTCTCAATTTGTTCATTGTTGGTGTATAGAAAAGCTAATGATTTTTTGTAAGTTGATTTTGTGTCCTGCCACATTGCTGAAACTGTTTATGGTGTTATGGTGTCAAGGAGTTTTGAGGTAGTTTTTAGGGTCTTTGAGGTATAGGATCATGTCATCTGCAAATAGGGATATTTTGACAGTTTACCTATTTGTATTCCTTTTATTTCTTCTTCTTGCCTTATTGCTCTGGCTAGGAATTCCAGGAGTATGTTGACTAGGAGTGGGGAGAGTTAGCACCCTTGCCTCATTCCTGATTTTAGAAGAAATGGTTTCAGTTTTTCTCCATTAAGTATTATGTTGGCTATAGGTTTGTTGTATAGAGCCTTTATCATGTTGAATTTTCTTAGAGCTTTTATCATGAAGTGGTGTTGAATCTTGTCAAAGGCTTTTTCTACATCTGTTGAGATGATCAAGTGGTTTTTGTCTTTTCTTCTATTAATGTGCTGTATTATATTTATAGAGTCATGTATGTTGAATCACCCCTGCATCCCTGGGATGAAGCTGACTTCTTCCATGGTGAATAATCTTTCTGATATGTTGTTGAATTTGGTTTGCCATTATTTAGGATATTTGCATCGATGTTCATTAAGGAGATTGGCCTATAGTTCTCCTTTTTGGAAGTGTCTTTGTCTGGTTTTGGGATGAGTGTAATACTGGCTTCATAGAATGAGTTAGGCAGTGTTATTTCCCTTTCCATTTAGTGGAAACTTTTAAGGAGAGTTGGTATTAGCTCTTGCTTAAAGGTCTGATAGAATTCAACAGACAATCAGTCAGGTCCTGGACTTTTCTTTTTGGGGAGACTCTTGATTGCTGCTTCAATTTCATTTTGTGTTATAGATCTATACAGGAGGTTAATATCCTCATGGTTCAATTTTGGGTGGTCATATGTATCTAGAAATCTGTCCATTTCTTCTGGATTTTCAAATTCATTGGAATATAGGTTCTCAAAGTAGTTTCTGATGATTCCCTGGATTTCTGTGGTGTTTGTTGTTATCTCCCTTTTTGCATTTCTGATTTGGGCTTTTTCTCTCCTCATTTTAGTCAGATTTGCCAGGGGTCTGTCAATCTTGTTTATTTTTTCAAGGAACCAGCTTTTTGTTTTGTTGATTCCTTCTATTTGTGTGTGTCTGCGTGTTTGTTTTTCTGTTTTTTGTTGTTGTTGTTGTTGTTGTTTTGGTCTCTATTTCATTAACTTTGGCCCTTATTTTTATTATTTCTC